AGTAATTTGAAAATTTTAAGTTCAAAGGGCTAAGTAAGTAATAAGTATTTTTATATTAAACAAATTTGGGGATGCTTGGATTTTTATCTTCTTTCTACCCAGTTCTAATGGGAAGCAAGCAATCTTGGGTCTCCTGTGCCCCACGAGATTCTGTCATTTCTCTCCGGTGCATCTTGGTTCCGTGGGTCTTTGTCTACAGAGCCATTTCTGAAAATGAAAGCACTAAATTTTGTAGCTGTTCTGAAATTTTTTAAGTCTCAAACCCCTAGCCAAATCTTCCTTACAGATCATTTATATATTTAATTGAACTATAGGGAAAATAAGTAACTATTTACATTCAGAAGCTTTTATACATTTAAAGAATTGTCCATGCGCTAACTGTCTTCTATCTTTGACTGTGGAATATACGTCTGGACTCTCCTGTTCATGTTCATTTGTCTCTCAGTTACACATACACCATTTGACCATGACCAATACTGTTACTCCTGAAGAACACAGAGTTGCCTAGAGACAGTTTATAATATTGTGCTTTAAAAGAAGTCAAAAACTTTTCACAAAAGTAGAGGAGGGAAAGAAATGTTTATAATGAAACAACTTTCCTTTTAAACTCCTAGCAAGTTAAACATTCCCAGTCAGTTCACTAGTCCCTGAAACTTGAGTTCATGACTTCCTAGAATTTTGGTTATATTTTCTAGTTACTAAGCTTCTAGTTCATGAATTTTTTGCTCTAGCTCAGCAAAATAGCATTCACTTAAAACCCCACTATTAGACTGTGCTCACTGAGAAAACTAATCCTTGGGAAATTAAGGTAAGACAAAAGTCAGCAAAGTTCTGTCATTGGCCAAATACATAAAATCATTAAATTTTACTCCATTTATTTAATCAGTATCCTAAATTTTAGATACTTTATTACTCCAAGAAGTTAACGTGCTCAATTTTTATTATCATGACAAGCTTTTTAATCCCCACTTAAAAATGGGAAACCAAATCACAGGAGGTTAAATAACCTGCTTAAAGTCACACAGCTAAAATTAAAGGAGCTGAGCTATAGCCCAGGCAGCCTGTACTCAGTTCGTGCTCATAACCATGTGCTTCCTTCTGTCTCTGAGGTGGAAATGGGTTACAATGAATCAACCTGGGGTTGACTGTCACCCTCCATGCAAGTTGTGAGGGCTGCTCATCCCGCTCATTTTACCCAAAGAGCAGAAGCAGGACAGCTAGGTTACAGGGGAAATGGTGTCACTCTCCCTTATACGTTAGCTGTGCTTGTGCACTTACATGTCACGTCAGTAGAGATGCATGCCATCTTGAGTCAGACCCATCACACCCAGCCTGTGCTGGGTGGGTCTGGAGGAGCCTCAGCTGGCCAGAGCCTCTGAGTGCTGGAGGCCCCTGGCAGGAAGCCAAGACTTGACACCTTGGGAAGGGTATGAGGAAGAGCAGGCCCTCCCAGCAAGGACAGCATTCCATGTAGTGATTGCACCACCACACTTAGAGGCTCCTGACCTTGACACCAGCCAGGAGAAGTAGCTTTGGAGTGAAGTAGAGTTGGTCTGTTAGCACAGGTGAAGTTAGCTGGGGAGGAGGGGTGACTGCACTGTCCATCTCTAGACTGTCTTCAATCAGCCCTCTTGATTTCCTCTGCCCTCTGGCTATTTTAGAATTGAAGACACCTAGTGAAGAACTAGAATCAGTAACTGCAAGCTTGGAAAACTCTCCTGCGTGCAAACAGTCCAGGGTTTAAAAGAAAGGGCAGAACCCATTGCTTCATTAAGATATTGCTGCCCACAATCAGTCTGTGCTGCTCTGTAGACGTCGCCTGTGTGGGCAGTTTTGCGTAGTGTTTAAATTCCATAACTCATAATGTAGTAAAAGTGGTGGGTTCTAATGTAAATGCTGTTCATTTTCAGAGGCACATACTGAAATTGCTTCTGAAAGCTAAGCAATAGGATTTTATTGGAAGTGAACCATTATTAAGTAACTTAATCTTGATCATCTAGTTCTTAGTTAAAAAAAAAAAAAGAACAAAGGGGTTTTTTAAGAAAATACTTTGTGTGCAGTCTCTCGACATGCAATACCAGTCTTGAATCCATGTAATTTGTTGCATGCTCACATCAATGATGATAGAAATATTGGTGGTGGTGATGAAAATGGTGGTAATGGTGATAACAAGTACCACTCACTACTTAAATGTGTCATGCAGCTTATGGTTGAATTCTTAGCACAACTCTTCCTTTGGCAGAATAATTAAGAGTTAGGCTGCCTAACTCTCAGCTTATCAGTTTCAAGCTGTGAGACCATGATTTTAGTTTCCTTGACCATAAAATATGGGCAAGAATGATGGTTAAAGTTGTTACAGAGAGTAAATGGAATGATGCATGTAACTAAATGGCTCCTGTGAAGTTCTTAGCATAGTACCTATGGCTGTTCAGGTGCTAGTGGTGCTTTTCCCCTTCTTCACAATAGGAAATAGCCTGGAGATGTCTAGGAACTGTCTCAGGTCCCTTGCGAATAAAGGGTAGAACCAGGATTGAAAATAGAAATTCATGATGCCAAAACCCTGATTCTCTAAGCACTGTCTTAGGGCAAACATTTGGGAGGTGGGTATTTGTTGACTAGTGTTAGATTCCTTTCCCATTGCTGCCCTGCTAAGGACCCGTCTTTGCCTCTTGATCCTTTCAATAAGCCCTTAAGTATTTTAACCAATCTGGTTGCCTTTTTTTGAACTGGATCCAATCTAAATACATCCCTAGTGCCTGTGAAACTCTCAAGTAAGCTTAGTAATACAGTACAGGGTGTCCAGAGTTTTATGATAGGTAGGATTAGACTTTCCCTGTCACATGAGGTATTTCTATTGGAATGAGCCTGAAATGGATGAATGGCATTCATCTTCATTAATGTGACTTGTGTTACAAACACACCTCTAATGTGTAATGTACTGCCTTGTCTGTGGTCTGTCAACCTCAGTCTTCAGGTTTCTCAAATTCACACAAAAACAAAAGGAAAAAATCTCTGTCCTATCATTTTTTACACATATAAAATGAGTTGTACAATTGAGATGGATATCTTTATCCTTTACACTCCCATCTCTAAAACATAGTTATACAGAAACACCCAAATTGTCTACATGGAGAATCTTGATCCTTCTCCAGCTTCTCTGTTTTGATCTATAGGTCTAGCTGCAACCCTTTGTTCTCAGGTGCCCCTTATTTTGTATTTGGGACAGTGCTTATCTGCTCACTGCTTTGTTAAACTTCAGGACCTCCCATTTCATTCACTGGGAAACTCACCATGTTTACAGATCCAAGTTCACTGTGATTGACATATCTATTTATTAATGTGCTGTCTTCTACAGGTTGACATTCTGAGTTTTCATATTTTTACATTTATTATATTATCTTTAAATTATTAATGACAGATCTAGAGAGTTAGACTACAAGGCCCATCCTGCATTTTTGTGAAGAATGGCATTGCTAAAATTTTATTTCCTCATGACTCTGACTTAGCATAAAAGTGTTCTAAAGATCCATCTCTGCCTAGAGTCTTATTTTCTTTATTTCTTACACCTGTATGGCTTTATTTTCTACCTACTTGCTATCATGTCTTTCTCCCATACAAGATTGTAAACTCCTGTATAAAAGCACCCTGTACATGACTAATTCAGCAACTGCCTGTTGATCTGAATCTTTGAATTTCTGAGACCTGCTACACCTGCTTTATAAAGATAATTGTTTTGTTAGTCGTTCTAATTCAAAGTTGAAAAATGGTTGAAATTTTCTCGAAGTTAAACAGAATAGCCAAAGCTACTAATTTAGAGATAAATAATGTACGCACAGATATCTGTATACGTAGATCAATGTGAATATGTTTACATGCACATGTATACTTTATAAAGTAACAGAGGAAAGTGTTCAGTTGAAGCATTTGAAAGATGGTTTAGTAGATTATACCAGTGAGTTTTCTTTAGCAGGGAGCAGTGTGGGCCAAGAAGGAAAATATGTTTTCTCCTTTCATTTTTTTTTAATCTGATTTACACTTAATGGAAAAAGGACTCAGGGTTCATTATTATACAAAGAAAGGCAGTATATTACACTGATTCCTTTCAACTGAAAGCAATAAACTATTGTTACAGAAGGAGTTGGTGGGGGAGGGTTTTGTTTTTTTTTTAACTCTCCCAGAATGCAGGTTGCTCAAAGTGAAACTAAATAATCCACACCATTTTAAAACCAGATGCCTATTGCTGCAGCACAAGCTAGTTGCTGGTTTGTTTTTGTTTTGTTTTTCCCTGCTGTAACCCACATTTTGACAGTTGCCCATTACTTTGCATTGGCCATCAGAGTGCAATTTACTTGTCAGCACAGCCTCTTAGGATTAAAGGGTAGAACTTACCATCTTAACATGCATTATGTTTTGAAAGAGATTATTCCATGGCACTGTTCAATTGAGAACAGAATTTCCTTCATGGTGGAGTGAAGAACAGAAGGGTTTGGAAGGGCATACGGTGAGCCTCTCTCTTCATGCTCTCCCTGACTCAGAACATAGATATGATTATGGATGAGCTTTTATCAGATGAGAGAACATGTTATTTGTAACCCAGCAAAGGCTACCCGAGAGTGGGAGAAAGGGTGGAGTTGGGTTGAACCAATAAGAAAATTGAGGGTTCTTGAGAGAATATTCCAAGAATTCAAATTCTGTTGGAGAACTTCTTGTAAGGAAGTGAACTGAAAAAGCAATCAAGTTCACTCCTATGAAAAGCATGATGTGTCACAGAAAGCCTTATAATATGGAGTGTGTCTAATCCCCATTCCCAGTGGGAGTGCTTCCAGTGGTCACAGCTCACTAGTGCCCCCTGGTGGTTTCAAACTATCTCATAGTTCACTGCCCTGGATGAGACATCTGTGGTGGGCGGGACAAACTTCAATTCCAGGGTTGAGGGTATACATATTTTCAGATTTTATTCAAGCTTCTTTCTTGTTTTTTTTTTTTTCCATTTGTTTTAGGCCAAAGAACTGCCAACTTTAAAGGACAATGATTTCATTAATGAGGGCCAAAAGATTTATATCGATGACAACAACAAAAAGGTATTCTTGGAAAAACTGAAAAAGGATGTTGAGGTAAGAAAAATCAGTAGAAAGGACAGCTCCATTTTATCAGTGTCAACTCAGTTTTGTTTTAAGAGCTTTTTAAGCTGCTATTTAAATCTGCATCCAAGGCAAAAATATATATATTCTATATATTTCAATTCACATACAAACAGATCTGGTTTTAAATTAATTGTGCCAGCAATCAGGATGGCAAAGACAAGAAAGATCTGCTGTCATCTGCTGGGTGTCCCCTCCTCTGGGTTCCCTGCCTTTGTTGGTGGGAATGGCCATGAAGACAAGCCTGCCTACAGCAGCCAGTGTTAGAAGGGAACATGGGTGCTGGCTTCTGTCACATAGCAGAGCAGGTCAAAACAAATGCCTAGTGACTCAATCTTGGTATTCTTCCTTCTGAAGCACATCTCAGTGTTGGTAAGCATAGCCTCAGTCACTTAATGTTTTGGTATTTCCACTAGCTACCATGAACAGGGTCATGGGGCCAGTGAGCCAGCCTTGCTGTGCCATGGACCAGCATGAGGCAATGTGGGCACGTGGGTTGTGGGAGAGGTGGTTTGAAGTAAGACCCAGTGTTCCAAAGAACTTTAATTTCATTTGCCTCAAAGATTTCTTTTTAAATACTGTTTTGTTTAAGAATTTAAAATTCACCTCTTCCTATCACTTTGTTTAGTATAAAGGCACTGCAGCTTTCCTATTGGGCTTCCTTATTTAATTCATTTAGGAATAAACTCAGAAAAAAGTGATTTTCTTAGAATGTGTTGAGTTTCAAGACTACACAAAGAGAATTCTAATTTAGGCAATTAATAAAGTAGGCTTCCCTTGCCTGTTACTTTTGTTCATGTGTGTGCACTTTTTTCTTTTTACTTTGAAATACTGTTCCCCACATACTAAGATCTGCTACTTAGAGAGAGGCTTTGTGCAAAGATTTTCTTTTTCATGTCATTAAACAAAAACAATTAAGATGACTAGAGCTGAAGAATGAATGTCATGCATTTGATCCCTCACGAAGGCAGAGGCAGTATTTTAATGTCCTTTTTAATCTTCGAACAGCCCTTTTCATTGTAAGACACTCAGGCTGATCAAGTTCATTCCTGATTATCTTTAGATCAGTTAACACATTTCTTACATTATTTTAATCTCCATGGTGTACATGCTTAGGTTAGAACATTAATATTGGTTATTTGGGAAAGACACAAGTTTCTAGTTTTGTTAAAGTAGATACAAGTGTTTTATTTTATCATGTAACATTTTTTCTCCGGTCTTTTATTAGTAAACATTTATTTTTCCTCAGTTGTCAGTGGTTATTGTTAAAATGCATGTTAGTTAAGCACTTCCTCTTTACTTTGGGGTCAACTTGATCTAACGGATAATTAAGCACTATACCATAGGGAAAATATCTCTTTTGGATTTTTACTGATTTTTACAAATGTTTGATCCTGAGAATGATATTGTTTTAGCAATTATGGTAAATAGCCCCTAGGGTTATCTGTGACCTGCCCAAAAATAGGTTTCTTTTTTCTTGCTGTTGGCTCTATCTCCCTATGATATTTAGCCTCTAGTAAGAATGCAACTCAGGCAGTTCAAACTTACAGTTGAATTACATGAGGATCCTCTTAGGCCTTTTGTTGTCTCTAATAATGTCGTTGATTAAAGGATTGGATAGTTTAATCCCATACATGGCTCTCACACTTGGCTGTTTTGTTGAAATGGAGGCAGAGCATAAAGCGTTCTTTCATGAAAAAATTTTCTCAATGGCTGATAACAGTGTCTTTAGTTTTGAAATTCATGCAGAAGCATCATTAAATTTTTAAGCAGGTGATTACAGTGAAGTAGCCTGACATCTGATCTTGATAATGAGACTAGAATTTAATCTAGTTTTCTCTTTTCATTAATTCCATGCCTTCTAATTTAGCTGATGGCCTGACTGCTAAAGTTTCAGTACAGTTCTTTTTTGTTTTGCTTTATTTTGTTGTTTTTTCATTTTTTGTTTTTGTTCCATCATGGTTTAAAGTAGACTGTCTGGATTTATTACAGCTCAATAAATGATATATTAATTTTTTTCAAAGAAAGAAGAGAATTGCCACTTGAGAATCTACTTCCTCTTATTTTTCTACAGTGGAAATCCTGTTCTGCCATTCATATGCCAGGCTGGGGTACTTTAGTCCAGAGAGTTTTGCACATAACTAAACATATGGAAACCCTTCTCTGAAAAAGAAAAGGAAGCAGGAAGGAAGGAAAAAGGAGGGAGAGAGAGGAAGGAAGGAAGAAGGGGAAGGGAATAAAAAAGAAAGGAAGGGCTTTACAAAAATGAAAATCAAAATTACTTTTGCTTTCTGCCCTCCTTGTCAACTCTTGATTGTAACCATGGAAAGTCACCCGTATCTCTTTGTTGGCTTACGCTGAGATTCATATGTCTCACAGTGCAAAATTGTGCTGTCCCCTGTGGCATTCAGGAGTGGCTGCATTGCAGGGCATTGTGACTATCTCACATTGATGGTCCCACAACCATGGTAATGTGTAGGAGAGGAATCAGGAGGTGGGTGGGGTCATGGGAGTAGGTGGCAGCCAATATTTATAGAGCGTGTATCCCCTAAGTCCTTTGTGTAAAGTCATTATCTCTTTTCATGCTTAAAACAACTCCTTGGGTTTGGGTACTGTTACTATCCCAGTTTGATGGATAGAAAAACTGAGTCAAGAGATGCTCTCTAATTTGCTGAAGACACACAGCTGCTAAATTCAGACCAGGATTTGAGGATGTCAGTGATCACACTCCCAACTACGCTGACATAAAATGCCAGTTCAAAATGTTTGTGAGAGCAAAGGTGAGACTTTACTTTCTGAAAGCATGCTCCAAGGAGATGATTATATTTTAACAAGTTGTTAAATGTTGAACTTTTGCTGACTGGAATTCAACACATCCCAGATGTGTTGGGAGATGGCAATTCAATGGAAAAAGTATGTTAAGAAAGCCCCAAAAAGTTCATTTAAATCTATCGTGAATGGGCTGACAGAGTGGTGCAAACAGTAAGAGCACCTGCCTAGCGAGCCAGTGCCACCACCAATAATAATAATAATAATAATAAATCTACTTTGAAGGATAGTCTTTTAACTGCTTCTTGGCTGCATAGTTTGGTAGAAAAGGTTGGTGACAAGACTCATAAAGATCATGAGGAAAATACTAGCTCAAAGATTTGCCATGGGCTGGGGATGTAGCTCAGTGGTACAATGTGTGTTTAGCACACTTAAGTCCTTGTTCAATCCCCAGCACAAAAAGGAAAAAAGATTTGGCATGAGAAATTAATTATTATGGAATCAGATTATATGTGATATTCTGAGAGAAAAAGAGATCAGAAGCCTGGCAGGTAATTATTAAGAACTTGGAAGAAAATCGGGGAGTGAACAGGGAAAAAAGAGTGGGTATGTCTTGAGTTCCCCACATCAACTGGAGGCTAGCCCATAGCTGAGCCCTGGTCCTCATTCTGTCTCTCTCCAACTTAATCTTTACCCCTGTGCTGTGCTTGCTTTTTCTCATTTCTACCTCAGTCCTATAGATCTGAAAACATATCGATGGAATTGGGTTTCCTGGGAACGGCATGTTTCATGTCCCTGAAGGTTTGGGGGATCAACAGGAATTGACCACTCCTTACTCCTTCCTTACTGGAAGAGGAACTTACAGGGTCTGACCATAGGCCTGAGATCCAAAGAAGCTGCTCAGGGCAGCCTGATGTGAGGAGAGCACAGCGAGGAGAGGTGACCCTGCCCAGCCTCTCCTGCTTAGTATGACCGGCCAGCCCAGTTGGCATCCTTCCTGTCTGACCTTTAACAAATTAGTCACAGGCAACTCCCAACTTCTGCTTAAATCACACTCAAAAGTATATATGAAGGTCAACCATATGAAGGTCTAAGAGTAGACCTCTGAGTTAAAGAAAGAGTCCATTCCCAAGAGGCCAGCTGCTTTGAGATCGGTCTTATTGTGCTTTTGCTCTCTGTTTTGATTTGGTTTTGGTAGTTTGGTGGAGCAGGTGGGCTGGGGGAAATTGGGGAGTGGTAAAGGGGTGAAAAAAAAAGAAGCACATGTTGCATTCACTTGTTCAACTTCCTCCTAAGCCCATCACCTGCTGGGGATCAGCCTGCAGTGGGAGCAAAGCAGCCAGAACCTTTCTGGGGCTGCATGATTGACAAGAGAGGATTGACTCAAATACCCAACAAAATGAGCATGTGGGTATGGGAGTGGTGGCGAAGTCGGCATGCCAGGGATGCCCTACTTCTGGGGGTGTGCTGCTCTGACCAGAAGGTTCAGGAGGAGGTACCTGGGTACAGATTAGAAGGCTAGAAGGGGACAGGAAGGTAGATGGAGTTAAGCTATCCATGTGAGAGTGTTTTTCTGCCCTATGAAAAATGGGGCATAAGCAGAGCCCAACAGACCAGATTTGCATTTCAAAAATACCTTCTTTTCCAGAGGGCTGGAAGGGAAAGTTCAGGTAGTCCCCAGTTCTTTACCAAATCACAGAGACCTTCCAAGTGCCCAGAGGGATCAGGGATGAGAAAGGGCCTTTCCCCTGCCAAGCCTAAGCCCACTTGGTTAAGTCTTCACCCTCCCTCTTTCCCCTAGCATTCTGGGAGATGATGTTGCCACTGGTACCCCATCCCCTGCCCCTGGAGGGGAGAGTGGGCAGAGAGACCCTAGATAAAGGGGTCAAAGCAGGCACCATGCTAGGCATGGCAATGGGAGAGATAAGAGACTCTGACCTACCCAGTTCCCCAGGAGCTTAGCCCAGGCACACCTTCCTGGGGGCCTTAGACCAATAAATAGACCAGAAAAGGAGCCTCAGCGAGCACCTCGCCAGTTGTACTTCCTGAGGGTCAGAGAATATGATCAGGTACTTCTGATGCAATATTTCTCCAATATTCTTCCAAGACAGTAGGCCCATAGGTGTCCTAAAGGGGAAACAAGGTCCATGACCACATGAGTGGGAGATGTACTATTGCCTATTACCCTCTGGAGACTCATAGAGTTTATTAATAAGAGCAGGTGTTCAGAAACAGTTGGCTTTAATTCATTGTCTTCCTGCTAGGGTTGTAAAGAAAAAATTTGGGAAAAGCTGCTTTAATGCAGCATCCGGAGGTAGTGCAGAGAACACAGGCTCCTGAATTCATTCCTTAGCTTTGAGTCTGTGCGCACGTTCTCCCTTATCTTCTGAGCCTGTATGCCATCGCACACATTGATCCTAATGCCTACCTTGGGCCAGGTCAGTTGCCTCTGGAATCCACAGCACTCAGTTCTTGTCCACATCCATGGCCCTGTGGAAAGCAGAGTGGGTCACTAAATTCCAGTTCCCTGTCTGGGTGACAGGCCCTGAGTTGGTAAAGGATTCAAGCAAGAACTTGATTCTGTTACTCTCTCAAGCAGCCATGGAAGAGGCTTAAGTGAGGACAGCCACCCACATGCACACATTACTGGACAGATGCCCCTGAAGCCTAGCACTGCCAGGACCCTATGGACCGATGGCAGTATCTGACCATTAGGAAGCAAGACTGGTGGAGGGAAAGTTGATTCCCACCATCACTGGAAAGGGAAGTTAGAGGAAAGCACAGAAAGAAGCAGCCATTTCCTCCTTCTCTGGGACCCAGAAAACTGGTTAGAGGCATGGGGTTGAGAATGAGCCCAGCATTCTGTTCACAGGAGGGCTTTGCCTCTGTCTACTTTTAAATAAACACCTTTCTCCTACCTTGCACCAAAGCCAATATCTGAATGTAAGATTTGTGTATGGTCTGTTTGTTTTTTGTTTTTGTTTTGATGGCAAGAAGACTGGATAGAAGCCAGGAATGGGTCATTGGAGAGATAAAGAGAGACGAAGGCATTGGGAAGCCACTGGCAAGCAGCACCCTGGATCAGACTTGGCGGGAAGGGAATGTGACTCCTCACTCAGCTCTAGGATGGAGCAGTTTCCTAGCAGTCTCAGGGAGAAAAAAAATGGTCCTACAGTTCTCCACAAATTGATTTCATTTCATTTTCAGCCAAAATGTCAAGACCTGTAATTTCATATGTTTGTGTATGGAAGTTTGATTTCTAAATTCTGTCAGAGTAGTTGAGAGGCCTATCAGCTGCTCTGCATCATTGAGCAAGGGTACAGCCAAGTCCTCCAAGAATCATCAGGGCCATGTGCCTTCTCGGACCCTAAGCCCAGAACTGGACCCTGTGTAGAGCCTACCAGCTGGGCCATTAGGGAACCATTATTTCTGGCTAGCAGGTAGGCTGTACAGCTCGTCCTCCAAAATACTATCCACCTTCAGTGGATCAGTTGGAACATTGCACTTAATGTCATGTATCTGGGTACATCCAATTACTTTAAAAAGGAAAGAAAGAAATCATGACAAGGAAAGTCAAAGAACTTGGCAGATAGGAGTAGCCAAGCTTACATTATATTCTAGTTATGGCTGGACCAGGAAAGAACAGAAGGACAGGAACCCCTGGACATGTGGTGCCTTGTGGGAAATAGAGCACCTTCAGCATCTTTTGTCCCCTCCTTCCATCAGAAGGAAGCCGGACAGGGACAGAGGGACTGCATTCTCACCGGAGCAAATGACAATTCATTTACTGGTTGATTGGGACATTTGGGCTTTTACTTATTCGTGATGGACAGCTCTGCTCTCTGTGTAGAGTGTTCTGAATTTCAAAGTGCTTTCCCAAACTATTCTGAGGAGGCTCTGCTGGAAGCTACTTGGGAGGTCCTTGGTTTTTTCTTATTAACTGGACTTCATTGTTGGGAGAAACTCTCTCTTCCCTCCCTCCCAGGCTTTTTCTTGCCATTCATACTTTCTGCTCTTTGGTGTAACACAACCTCCACATGATAAATGTAGGCCTCACCATCTAGCTTTGCATTTCAGGAAAAATAATGTTAGCCCCCAAACCAGCCAGAAGTATGAGACTGTTTTAGCCAGAAAACTACCTGGGAATTTGAGAGCCTCCTGGAGCAAACTAAGGGGAAATCCCCATGGTCACCCTGCCACCCCCTCCTTCATGGCCTCCCCTGATGTGTAGTTTCCTGAACTTGTGTTCTGTAAATACTGGTGGTGTAGAGGTATAGCTGACTGACATATTAACTCCCCCTCCAGTTTCTTGCCCAGTTAAAGCTCATGGACTACAGCCTCCTGGTGGGAATTCACGATGTGGAGAGGGCTGAGCAAGAGGAGGTGGAGTGTGAGGAGAACGATGGAGAGGAGGAGGGAGAGAGCGACGGCACTCACCCCATCGGGACCCCACCAGACAGTCCAGGAAATACGCTGAACAGCTCACCACCCTTGGCTCCGGGCGAGTTCGATCCAAACATTGATGTTTATGGAATTAAATGCCACGAAAGTAAGCTTAGTTGCTAGCGACCTTTTTCACATAGGACATGGTTTGAATTTTGCATTGTGTTCCATCAGTAATCACCCCAGTTACAAGGGCTCTGGCCCACAAGATTCAAGAGTGTGGTAAAGGACACTGAAAGCTCTGGTGTTGAATTTTATGATGGTGAAGGATGGAACCAAACCACAAACTATTTAATGTATATATAACACACATATATACACATTTACAGATAACATATATATAAGAAATGTTTTAAAGCCAGGCACCAGAGGCTCACACCTGTAATCCTAGCTACTGGGGAGGCTGAGATAGGGAGGATCATGGTTCAAGACCAGCCTGGGCAAAAAAGTTCATGAGACTCCCATCTCAACCAATAACGGAATGCAGTGGAATACACTATGTGGGAGATTGAGATCAGGAGGATGGTGGTTCCAGGCCAGCCCAGACCAAAAAAATCAGTTTTCAGACCCCATCTCAACAGAAAAAGCTGGGCCTGGTGAGACAGCCATGGATTATGATCTGTGGTCCTATGGCAAACCATAAGATTGTGGTCTAAGTCAGCATGGGCAAAAAATGAGACCCTATCTCCAATAACCAGAGCAAAAAAGGGCTGGATGAATGACTCAAGTAATAGAGCACCTGTATAGCAAGCTCAAAGCCCTGAGTTAAAAGCGCTAATACCTCAAAAAAGTACTTTAAAATATTTTTTTTTCTTAGGCATTTTATAAGTAAGTTAGTCAGTAGTATCACAAATCTGTCCTGAGCTAGGCATCCGTATGTGACCTGCTGTGACCCTCAGGTGGCCATCTTGTCAATAGCCACACCCCAGTGTGTTGAGTGAGAATCTCTGACTTGCCGCCATCTATTCTCTGCCATCCTCCTCCAGGAAGGGATCTATGACCATCTTCTCTACTCTAAACTCAGATCCTTCATGATACTGAATATCTTGATGATTGGGTATTTGAAGGAATATTACATTCTATTTAGCTGTGTATCCATGAGAAAAATATTTTAATGGTATTGTTTTTTGAATAACAAAACATGTGATTTATCATTTTTTTAAATCGCAGCATATCACCCAAGTGAATCTGAGCTCTGTTTTGCTCTATTTTGCTCACCAAAGTTATTTCTCCAACAAAGAAAATTGAGATATAGACAAATATATTTTCTTACCATATATAATTGAAGCATCATTTTTTAAAAAATATTTAGAAACTAGATAGTAGAGGCAATATAGGCCTTTGTCCAGTTCTGATATTATGTCCAATGAGAATTAATCATGATCTGTGCCTCTAATAGTAGAAAAGAATTAATGAGCATTTTAAAAATGCATTTTTCTTTACACCAAAGCAATGCACTATCATTAAAGAAAGAACAGATTAGAAAACACTTGCTCCCACTCTTGGACCTGTCTGGGGTTAAGATGTTCTTTTTATATATATATGCTTTGAAATTGAAAGAAGATTGGGTCCAGGGATCCAAGGAGGGGGGGTGGGGGGACTCGCAGGAGTTAGAGCTTGTTTGGGAACTCCTTCACTCCCTATCCCATTGACTTTCTTCACTCCAACCTCAGTTCTCTCCCTCCCTGGTAGTTCATGCTTTTCCAAAAGGGGTCATGTCTTACACCATCACTGCTCTCCTCCCTTTACAGACTCACCTAGGAAAGAAGTGTACTTCATGGCGATTATTGACATTCTTACTCATTATGATGCAAAAAAGAAAGCTGCCCACGCTGCAAAAACTGTTAAACATGGCGTAAGTGTAGTTTTGCTTCCTTCTTTCCTGGGTCCTTGATGTTATCTGTAATGTGGGAACCACTCCTGTCTGCTGTTCTGTTCCTTTCTACCATGTTGTTCTAAATCCTCTAATGATCTTCTTCCCCACGAAGGGGAGGGGGAATTCTGAGTGCAAGACTCAGCTAGCAAACAACAGCCCCCAATACCTGAGGTTATCCTTACTCCTGGAGTTCTGGTGAGCCAGACTCAGCCTTCCATACTGGGAATATTAATAACCTTGTGCATCCCTTGAAAATTAGACAGATTCTTCTGTGTTTGAAAGATGCCCCAGAGATTAAGGTGCTGGAGATAGTTCAGTCTTGTAATATGAAATGTTCCAAACTGAAGCAACATTCTCGAATATGCAGTATTTCTTTTCTCACAGTGCATTACGGTTTTTTCTATTACAGAAATTTTTCAAGTATAAGTCAAGGTTTCATAATATTAATTCTTTATTTCTATCATCCTTGCTCAGGAACATTATTCTAGGCATATTAACTTTTGAATCCCCATGACAAACCTGTGAGGGAGATACTAGTGAGTCCCTTTTTGTCACCTGGAGAAACTGAGGAAGGCAGCCTCAGAAATATAACTTGCCAGGGCTCCATCACTAGGCAGTGGTTGAGATGGGATTCCCCCCAGAGCCCAACCCAGCCACCACTATGGTCATGCCTGTGCCTCTGTCCTGCCTGGAAGCCCTACCTGCTTTGCTGAGTTTCACAGTTGACCATGTATCCATTTTATGCTTGTATTGTAGGGATCTGTTACAGCCTTCCAAGTACTAAAAAGCCATAGAGAACATCCCACACAGATAACTTGGACCCTGTCTGTTCACATTGGCAGGAGAGGTGCCTGCCACAGACTGCATCATCAAAATATACCAAAACCAACAAAGTTAAAGGCTCTTTAGTTAAAGTCTCTTTGTCATCGCAGAAATGGAACCAGCCTAAAACCATGTTCCATTTGCCAAAGAAATATTTCAGGTATATCGCCATCTGCTTCATTGGTCCACAGAGCACATCAGTAAGGTGTGCAGTGGTGATGACCATCAGAACCTTCTGAGTACTACTTTCAAACCATGCATGTGCTATGAGTACCCCTCCCCGCTTCCCTAGTTCTGAATTTAGTTCAGGAGTTGAGGGAGAGTCTCCAAAAAGCCCTGTGACAGTTCTGACACTCACCTCTGGTTGGAAACCACAGGTATACTGCAAAGACAGAACTGGCGCAGAGTCCCTGTTTCTCCTTTTCCATTGTACAGCTTGGAAGAAATACTGATAAAGGAGTCCAAATGCTTTGCTAGATTGTGTTTCACAGGGGGATATATGAAGTGACCAAGCCAAACAGATGTTTTATAAGTGTTGCCATATCATACATCTTATGAAACTGAAGTATACCATAACCATGTTAGTCTCCCAAGCAGGTAACCAGCTTAGCCCCATACTTACTATATGATCTAAAATCATGGGCATTTTGCCAGAACAAAATGTTGCTTTTTATCAAAGGAGTCTATTATATTGGACTACTGTCAGGAACCATACTCTGCCTTCAAGGCCTGGGCTAAAAATTACAAGTTTGTCTGTGAACCAGAGTATCTGAAAATAGTATCTGGTAACTAGGTTAAATTCTTCTTTTGCCCTTTGCAGCTCACGAAACTGGCTAGTAACTGTCTTGTGTGTGCTGGCCAGCAATGGGTATCTAATAATAGAAGGTTCTCCCACTGTACTTCTGCCATGGGTCCAGCTTCCTTGCTGTGTTCAGGTCTCTGTGAAGAGGGAACAAAGACACTGCTGTGCCTTTCTGCCCTGAGGGAAATGCAGCTAGTTTCTAGATTTTACCTGGCTGTGAGGTTCCTGGGGCAGCAGTCCCAGGATCTGTCACTGCTGTTGCCACTTGTCTTTGAGCACTAAACCATTTACCTCTATCTTAAAACTAAGAGGGTCTTGAAAAATTAACACAATCTTTGTCCTTATCATGAAGGTTTCCCTTTCTCCAGATGCTTGAAAAGCAAAAGTATTATCCCTGAACCTCTGGATATAAACCACACAGAGGCCACTGTTTGGTAGGAATGTCCCAAATATGGCTAATTTGATCCTTTTTTTAAAGTTGCAACTGTCCCAGGGATGTGATAATAGTCTGGTGCTGTCCCCAGTCTTTGCCTCATTTGCAGACACGGATTCATAAGAACCTTGACCAAATAACCAAGGTATTTTGAGCTACAGTTTAATTACAGTGGCTATGTAGGTGTGAGTATTTTTGGCTTTAGGGCTGGAACTGCAGCTCAGTGGTATAGCACTTGCCTAGCATGCACAAGGCCGTGAGTTCCATCCCCACCACTGCCCCTCCCAAAAAAATTATTAGCTTTATATTCAGCTACAGTGGGAAAGAGCTGTGGATTCTGAGTAGTAATTTTGGGAAAAATCATAAACATCAATATTGCTTTCTTTTTAAAACTGCCCAGGCTGGAGCGGAGATCTCAACCGTGAACCCAGAACAGTATTCAAAGCGCTTTTTGGACTTTATTGGCCACATCTTGACGTAACCTCCTGCACAGTCTCAGTCGGACATGAGCGTGGGAAGGACAGAGGTGGCTTCGGTGTAGGAAAAGTGAAAACCAAACTCAATGAAGCACTCATCTTGCAGGAAGCAAACCTCCTTGTTTACATCTTCAGGCTAAGATGACTGATTTGGGGGCTACTCGCTTTAACAGCTACCTGATATTTCCCAGCATTGTTCTAGCTATTTCTGACCCTGTGTGTGTGTGTGTGTGTGTGTGCGTGCACACATGCACACGCACTCTCGTGCACATTTTTAAATAATTAATTAATTAATTAAAACATCAGCTTGAATCAGGATGTGTTGCAACAAAGACCCTCTGATTCCAGCTGTGGCGGAGTGAGTGAATGGATGGATGGAGGAGCACACTTGGGGGAGGGGGAAAGAAAATGCATGTTAGAGTAACCATGTTGTCATCACACAATAAACTGTAGATCAGTTTATTTTTTGAGTTGAAAGATGTGAGACAGTAGTCATAATAATAATGAAGATAATAATAATGATGATAATAATAATGAGGATGATGATTAAAAGGAGAAAAAACAAAAACCTACTGCAAAAGTTACACTTGCACCCTGCACGCAGACACTCCTTAATAGTTGTTCCCTGAGCCTCCAGCCCTAGGCAGAAGAATGCTGGCGTCTTCGTGTGTACTGGTTTGGGGTTCTGTCCCTGGAGTGTCAGGACCCCCAGTATCCCATCTTAACACCTCCTCCACCCCCAAGAAGCTGATGCCGCAGGACTCTGTCTACATTTTCACCTCCATAATTACATCCAGGAAAACTGCTTGCTTCTCTTTTCTTGCCTGGAGACTCATCATTGTTACGCCCTTCTGTTGCAGTATAGGAATTCATGCTACAAGATTCTAAACAAAGCTTACCTGGAAGGTGCATAGCTTGGGGCAATGGTAGCTACATCTCCCACTGCAGGATAATGAACAGAGTTAGATCCTCTCTGTTCTCCTGTGGCTGAATGCAAATCTGAATTATAAGAGGTTTATGTTTGACCATTGTTTACACAGTGGTATTTTGTTGCAAATTATCCCTTTAACTGAAACCCTCAGTTTTACTGTTTACATTATTAGGAAAACAGGGATATTTTTGAATCTAAAAATTTAATATACAGCATGTGATTCTTGAGGTTTACATGTAAAGTCATTTTGCAGTGTAGGTAAAGTAATGTTTGTCATATTTTGGGATGTACCTCAGTCCTGTTGAGTGACTGTTTTATTCAAAGTACATGATAGTCTTTTATGGGAAAAGGAAAAAGGATTGTTTTGTTCCTCCAAATGTACATTTATCAACCCAGTGATTTTTTTAAAGAGAGATTTAACCCAAATCTGGTTATGTAAATTCATTGCCCTAAACTGTGCTGACTGTGTTTAATCAAGTTAAAAATTTCCAACATTGATCATGTACCTACCAACTTTTCTGCATTTTCTAAAAGGCGTCAAGTTAAAAAGACTTGCTTAGAGTAGGTTATCAAATTATATGCTATGCTAAAGCTGTGCCTTTAAAACTCCTTGTTTAAAACATAAGATGGTTTTTGTAAGCAGTTTCAGAAAAGGGAAAAAAATATTCACTCTTCAATAATTACTTATAACTCAACAAGTCCTCCTGTGGGGCTGGCTGCCTTTTCCAGTCACTTTACTTCTGGGTTCTCCAGGTTGCAACTGTGCCCAACATATGTGAGCTGCCTTCCCAGATCTTTGGAAACCAGCAGCAGTTACTATCTACTGACTTTCATAGTTTGTTTCCCAATGGTGTTAACTCCACTGTAACATAGCTGCACAAATCTGTATCTTATGCATTTAAGTTAATCCGTGCTATGATTTGATTCCCCACTACCACCACCATTAAGTCTGGCATAAATTCCTTTCTGTGTTCTGAAGTTCTGCTGTGGTTCCTTTGACCTAAGACTTATAAATGTGAGACCCTGAAGTAAAGATAAGGTACATATACATAATTTGAGTAACTATTTCCTTTGTGGCCAATCTGTGTATGCTTTTAGAAGTTTACAACATGCTTTATTTTTGTCTGTAACTGTCTCTGTCATTCATTTCAGTTGATGAGCTGTTAGGACAGAGTGAGGAAATTTGCCTTGTATCTCCTAGTGCTAACAATACACTCCAGTCATGAGCCGGGCTTTACAAAATAAAGCACTTTGATGACTCACAAGGTGGATCCTTTGTTCCTCTGTCTCATTGCATTTGTCTCTTCCACAGACAAATTGTAAATACCACTGAGAATCTACTTAGTCGATTCATAAAGAGATAAAAAGTAATGTGGCATTTTTTCAGTTTCTAGAGCCTTGCTTAAATCTGCAAACTATTGTATCATAAATGATAGAAACTTCCAGGACAAAATTGACTTACTGCAAGATGGACAGGTAGAGAAAAAAAAATCTCTGTGGTGAATACCCTATTAAAGTCATGTGGTTATTTTCACCTGTGGTCAACCTTAGTCCTGCATGTCAGCATTTGTTGACACTTCATTGGATACCACTGATGGAGGGAGGGATTGTTTCATGGCATTTCACTGTCACAGGTGCCCCAGTGAGTAAACTGTGCCACTGTAACATTTGTTCTGAAATTGTGTACTGTAACACCATTGATGTGTTAGGAAATAATTTCATCAGAAGGTACATTTCACATTGTTTGTGTACAATTTGGTACACAAACACCATTTAACATTAGGCCAACAAGGAAAATTGCACCCAGCCGTAGGAAGGACACTTCCATGTAGGAAGACACTAGACACACACATGACACACCTGGGAACCCCTCAGTCTACCACAGTGTGATGCATTGCACACATCTCTGGAGCCAAACTTTCTGCCTGACATCAGATCACCCTTCTTCCAATGAACAGTAACCAAGAGCCAGTGCTCCTGACAGCCTCCACCATGGACGCCAGGGCCTTTTTCATGGTAACTTGGGTTATTTATATTTCCTAACCTCTTAGCGTGTTTGAAAATACACTGCTGTTTTTATTGAGTTCCTTTTCTAAAATGTGTAACTGGTGAAGTTTGGACCTCGCTGTGCCCCTAGTTCCATTTTTCCTGTAAGTACTATGGTTTCTCTTGCACACTTCTGACTAATGTAGTAATTTCTATGGACATAGATGTCACATTATTGTAGAACTGACTGTGTTTGGTCAGGAGCCTTAATTTAATTTTCCTTGTAGATAATTTGAATGTGGATACTCATTTTCCTTTCATTTTGGTTATTTGATTTCCTAAATTGAAATGTTTCCTGGTACCAAGAAAACTAGTTATTTCTAATTCAAAAAGGACAAAAATTGACATAAAACATTAAACCTTAATGTAACAATTTGGGAAATAGTGGTTAAGAATTTCGTGTGCTGGACATGGTGGCCCTAATTTACAGTGTCAGCTCTTGGGGGCAGAAGTGGGTGGGTTCCTGGAGTCCAGGAGCTTGAGACCAGCCTAGGCAACATACCAAGACCCCATCTCAAAAAAAAGTGCAAAAGATAAGTATCACTATATAATAAAGTAGTGTCAAACATAGAATTAAATTCTTTGGAAGTCTAAGGACCCTTAGCACCACTCCACACAGCCTTTCCAGGAATTTTTAATTAACAAAAAATCAGTGATCACAGTCACTATTGTACATGTACACCCCTTAAGCTCTTGAAATACCTGGCCCCATCTCTTCCTTTATCCCTGTCTTCTTAAGTAACGTTTTATTCAGCTCTTAATCACATGGTGCAGAGGTTGCTTTATTGAACCATAAAATGTATTTTCCCTAAAAAAGCAGAAACTCTGCTATGCCTTTTGAATCCCTATGCTCAGGAGCCACCCTCTGCCATAATTTGGCTCTTGAATGTCCCCTAAAGACCATGTGCTAAAGCTTGGTCCCCAGCCTGTGCCACTATTGGGAGATGGTAAAACCTTTAGGAGGTGAGGGCTTAAAATAGGAGGAAGTTAGGTCATTGGGGGTCTGTCCTGGAAGGGATATTGGGACCCTGTCCTCTTCCTATCTTTCTCTTTGCTTCCTGGCTGCCATGAATTGAGTGGGCCCCTCTGCCACACTGTTCCACCATGATGTTCTGTGCCACCACAGGCCCGAAGTGATAGGACCAAGTAACCATGGACTGAAACCATAAGCCACAATAAACCTTTCCAATCCTTTTAATTTTATTTTGTCACAATAATAGAAACTGACTACACATCTACATTCCCTTGCTCAGCCTCTGGCCAGCCTTCCTTTCTTTTGGTTCCTTTTCCAAAGGTACCAAACTGGTACCTTTAAACTGGTATCTTTAAACTGTCAATCTATGGAAGAGACAACTCAGAAATACAGGTCTGAAGACCACTGAAAACAGGAAATTAGAGTTCACTACTTTACCTAGACTGATCATTGAAAGTTCTTTCATAAAAAGAAAATGCTGTAGAGTACAGTGAGTACCTTTTTATTGAAATTTGAACACCATTCAAAAGTTTATCCTGGTACTGTTTTTGAAATTGTGTGAAAATCCTGCCCAATGGCAGTTAATTGCCATAGTCTATAATTTTCTCTCCCTTTAAACACTGTGTTCAGTTTAATTTCATAAGAGAGGGAGCAAAAGATTATAATTCCCTGAATGGGCTCCAATAGATTTGTGTTTTATAAAATCCCACATTTGTTGCTGGAAGAGGTGTTATAGATTAGGAAACTTGTCAACCTAAATAACAACTGAGAATGGCTCTCTTAAGATTTAAAAATTATTTTATTCAGGAGCAAGCAGAAAACTGCAATCTGAGATAGCCATGGTATAACTCAGGGTGGCAAAGACAGATAAAGGTTTTTAAAGGTAAAATGAGGATGGTTATGTAAGTTGTGTTGAAACAATTATCCTTTGCTATAGGATCACTATCAGAGAACCACTGGCCCATGACTGACCAGGCAGTTGTTGAACAGATGTCCCTGCAGAAGTGTTCTTTGTGTAAGGTTGTAGTAACTTTGTGCAACATTGTGGTTTTTCAGCCAGTCCTCATAATAGTTATGACAGACCTTTGTGTGAGAGCCCTTTTGGTGGTCTCCCTACCCAATTCTGTTAGGGTCTGACATAAGCAACTCCATTTTGGTACTGGCATCTTTCACAAAACCTTGATCAGAGAAACTAAGTGATTTGTCTAAGGTCACAGCAGTTAGTGGCAAAGCCAAGGTTAGAGCTCCAACACAAAAGTGGAAGTTGAATGAGTGACCAGTGGGCCTAGGACCCTCCTAAGACTCTGAGACCTACCATCACTTTAATGAGAGTTAATCGATAGTATTTCACTTTCCTATCCTTTTCTCTTAGTTAGTCCTGCAGTTTTGTTGTTCTTACTGTTACCATTTAGTTTTTGTTTATGTTTTTAAATCAGGGAGTTTCACTGGGGAAACATAAAAATATTCCTAAACCTGCTGGATGGTAGTTTCTGGAGGTGGAACATGGAAAATCTAATATTAAAATGTGCTTCCTACATGCTTCTCATGAATGGCCAGGTTTGGAAACCACTGTCTTAAAACACTAAACCCTCTACTAATTTAAATGCTTTTTCTGATCTCTTTCTCTCTCTCACCTTCTCTCTCTCTCCCCCAGCTCCCCTTTTTCTATACTCTCTCCTAATATATGAACAAGGTAACAGCTTTTTATTGATTTAAACAGGAGTCACTAAGCCACTGTTCAGGACCAAATCCAGCCCACTGCCCTGTTAGTGTGAATAAAGTTTTATTGGAACACAGTCACACCCATTCATTTAATGTTTTCTATGGCTACTTTCACACTATAGTGGCATTTAGTAGTTGTGACAGAGAGTTTATATCCTGCAAAACCCAAAGCATTTACTACATAGCCCTTTATGGGAAAAGCTTGCTAACCCCTAAAGCAGAACCTCCTTTTAGTATTACAAAGTTGTTTCTGCAAAGCCATGACTTCAACAACTCCTTCACATTTTTCTTCATCCATGATATGATATAAAGGAAAGTTTGAAAAACTTGACAGCAAAATTTAATGTTAAAAAGTTTGATATGTTTTAGGATTGAATAAAGTATACTTATTAATATCCTGTCATAAATGTGATTGACTTTGATAAACAACTAGTTCTGCGGTCACTTGGTTTTTAAATCGTGATGATAGATTTGGGGTGGGGGGGGTTGATGATTTCTTTAAGAAAAGGAAACGAAGAAAAAGAAAATCCCTAAAGTTTGTCTCACGTGAATGTTAAATTCTAGGATTTTTCTGTTCATATAAAAATGCACTACATCCTTGAGTTGTCTCTATGTTGTCATATCTGTCCTTGGAGACCCACATCAGCCACAGGGAATTTTGACCTTTTATCTGGAGGCAAGACACCTTTCATTCTTTCACTAAAGCTGTTACGACTCCATGATTTTTATTGAAGTTGTACCTCCTCTTGTGTTTGTGTTTTAGTAGATTGCTCTGGTTATCTTAAATTAACCTAAGTTATGGTGGAGTTGCCTATCCATGAAAACCATTTAGAAAAGGTCATAAATTAAACAGATGGTTGAGGTCCAACATATGTAGCATCTTATTTTTTCAAGAAATAACTTTAATTCTCTACACATACTTTTCTTTTTTTTTTTTCTGGTGCTAGGGATCAAACCTAGGGCTGTGTGCATGATAGGCAAGTGTGCTCTCTACTACTTTATAAGTATTTTTGGTTAAGGCTTCTTTACAACTAATATATGCCATTTTTACTTAATTTTGCCAAGAATTTGGTTCTAAATATAAGTTTGGGTGGACTATGTTTACTTAGTATTTTACCTTGGAGCGTCTGAGTAGTTTCCTAGTGGCTAACAACCCTGTTAAGGCTGTGTTCTGAATGATATCAGAATTTCCCCCAAAAAATTCCAGAGGGCAACTTCTTCCTGCTTTGGTTGCACTGCTACAACTTGAAACTAGGATTTCCAAACAAAAGGGAGGGGTTTTCTGTTTAACCTCTGAGCATGGAACCCATTCTTCTCTCACCCCATTTTTTTTTTAATTGTGGAACTGGTTTAGTGAAAGTCAGCTGATCTTTCTAAGTTTCTAAGAACAAATAAATAACCACAGTGTAAATAGAACATGTTTTTGCAGTGAATGGAGATGTATCTGAGTGCAGACAAAGCAAAAAATCTTCCCGTTGTCAAGAACAAGGGTCCAACCAAACACCAGATGTTCAACTGTGAAGCCGTTCATTTTTCCTTTTAACATTTTCCCACTTGGACTTAGTTTCTAATTAAACAAAATGTCATAAACAGCCTTGCCTGTTTTGATTAACAATAAGAAGAAACACAGATGCTAAATATACAAATGGATTGTGTGTATTGATCAGACACAACAGACCAGA